GTGGTACACCAATGGCATGGTGGGCTATTGTAGGTTTATTTGTAACGTTGTTTGCATTCCTTGGAGTAAATATGTTCCTCTCAGGGCTGCATTCTTACGGTGAACTTTAAATACAGGATTGCGTCTAAAACAAACGCACTGGACAATGCGGACTAACCAATACGCTTACGCTTCAATAAACATAAAAGGGAGATAATGAATCCATGAAACGCGCATTAAGCCACACCCTCGGCTTCATGATGGCTGCTCTGTTTGCTCTCACTGGCTGTATTCCCGAATCCAGCCAAGCAGAAGATTTCAGAGAAGGCACAGACTACGTAACACTTTCACCTGCCATGTCAACACAAGCACCTGCCGGAAAGGTTGAGGTGACAGAGTTATTTTGGTACGGATGCCCGCACTGCTATGCAATGGAACCCACCATTGAAAAGTTTCTCAGCAAGAAACCCGAGAACGTGGTCTTCCAGCGCGTTCCTGCCACGCTGAGTCCGCGCTGGGAATACCATGCCAAACTGTTTTATGTGGGTAAAATGCTGGATCCTGATGGAGCCAAACACGTCCATACTAAAATCTTTGAAGCCCTGCAAAAACAACGTCGCCAAATTAACAATGACGATGCCATGACCCGTTTTTTCACCGAACTAGGGTTTACCGCTGATCAAATCAAAAGTGCATTGAACTCCATGGAAATGAAATCCATGATGGCACGAGCAAATGAAGTAGGCACTCAATCCAAAGCGGATTCTGTACCCGTCCTCATTGTCAACGGCAAGTACCGCACCAGCCCCAGTATGGTGGGTGGCGAAGAGAAATTATTGCACGTCATTGAGTATCTGGTGAAACGCGAATCCAAATAAGTCATGGAGGGCGATATGCGCAAGTTCAGCCTGTTGGATAAAGTTCTAACTGAAATTGATCAGTCATTGCGTGTGGCTCATGCTACCGCGCCCACCACCGAACGCCCTAACCCGGCAGAAGGTGTGCAGGAAACGACGCCCCTCAACGAGGCAGAACGTGATTTGGTCATCCGACTCATGCGCATTAACCATACCGGCGAAGTGTCTGCCCAAGGTTTGTACCGAGGGCAAGCCATGACAGCCAAGCGTGAAGACATCCGTGAACAGATGGAACGTTCCGCTATGGAAGAAAACGACCATCTACATTGGACAGAAAAGCGTCTAAACGAACTCGGTGGCAGAAAAAGCTTGCTGAACCCCTTTTTCTATTGGGGTTCATTCACTATTGGCGCAGTAGCAGGCCAAATTGGTGACAAATGGAGCCTTGGTTTCGTCAAGGAAACGGAAGATCAAGTCATCAAGCATCTGGAAGAACACATTAACCGCTTACCGGCTCATGCCCTACCCGACATGGCTATTTTGCAAAAAATGAAGGAAGATGAAGCACATCACGGTCATGTCGCCGTGCAATCAGGTGGCGCAAAACTCCCCTTCCTAGCACGCAAGCTACTGATGCCCT